CTGCTTGAGCCGACAGGGAAATATAGAGAGTATTCCAAACTTCTGACTTGCACTTTGGAGGTAGTCAAGAGACAAGTCACTCTTCACACAATACTCAGCATTGTGAATTTTCACAGCTATAGAATTTACAAGATAGGCACAACTGAGATTCTGGTCAATGAAATTTCTCTCCCTGCAGTATATTCTTTGTCAGGGGATCAGGGTTGGCATACCATTTGAATATCAAAGGCTCTCCTTGATTAGAGATGATCACTGCTTGGCTATTGTATGGCCCAAATGTTCTTGCCATTTATAGTGATACCATCCAGGCTTGCACTGATATGTAGATTTGGACTGCTTCTTTAACCGTCAGCTAGGTTGAGTCAATATTCAGCTACATTGCTAATGTTGAAATGAAGTCCAATGATGGAAGACAGTCGCTTGGCCCCATGACCTGGCCAGGGATAAATTGCTTTCAACATGCACAGCCTTGATCTTTTGTACTAGATAAGACTTCAGCCACTGGAAAGTCTTCCCCATTATTCTATGAACTTCAGTTTCACTAGTTTCTTGGTTCCACAGAAGACAAAATCTTCCTTCACAGCAAGGGCATCCACTACCCATCTCACTTATTAACATAATTCCTTCAGAGATAGTAGGAACTGCAGATGCTGGAGAATCCGAGACAACAAGGTGCAGGGCTGGATGAACACAGCAGGCCAAGCAGCATAATTCCTTTGTCTATTTTTAGACAATTTGTCTATCCCTCCACTACACCCTCAGGTAGTGCATTCTAGATCCTAAGCATATGCAACATAGATGTCATCTTCATTGTGCCATTGCTTCTTTGGCCAACTCCGATAGTGTCCTCTCAGTCCTTCCATTAATGACAACAATTCTTTCTCCCACCTATCTAAACAGCCCAGGCCACTAATTTTAAACAGTCAATTTTTCACTAGATTGGACAAATGTCAGTGTTGTATGTAAACAGATAACCGGGGAATTGGAAGGAGGTAGGATTAGATAAGGAGTATAGGCCTTCAGCCAGGATGTTGTTGGGATACAGTCTTTGCTTTATCCAGTGCACTCAACACTCATCATATGGAGCAAATTAAACTCGCTGAAGTCTGACATCTATGGTAGTGGGGAACTTCTCTGCAGGCTGAGAAGAATCATGTTACAGGTGGTTGCAAATGTTTCAACTCTAGCAATGAGAAAGGGATATTCATGAAGCCTTTCCCTCCTGTCAGTTGTTAATTGCTCACTACCAAAAATAAAATAACAAAATTGTAGAGCGTTGACCTGATCGATTTGTCATCTGATAGCTGAGCTCTGGTTTGTAATATGCTGCTTCTACTGTTTAGCATGTACGCAAACCTGTGTGCTCGCTTCACCAGATTAGTGCCTTACCTTCAAATATGCCTACTGCTGCTCCTGGCACTCTTTTCATTGCAAAGACTTGGTTGGTAGTAATGGATGTGTGAGGACATGGAGAAGCAGGATTTCCAATATGTAGCAGGAATAAAGTTCTGCTACTGTTATTGGTTCTCAGGAGCTCATGGACACCAACTTTTGGCCTGCTGGATCAGTTGTTAATGCATTCCACTGAGCAGTGAGGCAATGTCATTTTACATGTCTTATGTCTCAGTATGAAGTTGAAACTTGATCTTCACAGAGACTGTGGTGGTTACATTCCCACAGAGTTATCTGCAGATAGATTAGCAAGGGCAATATCAAGTACTTGATTCCCGAGTTGGTTATCTCACCAACTGCTGTTAACCTAACCTGATCAGGTATGACAGGAACTGATCAGCTCAGCAACATTGGCACCAATTTCCCTTGGTGGATGGAAATTGATTCATGAGATTTCGTGGGGTCTGAAGTCTATATTGAGAGCTCTCAGCATCAGTCCTATTTGACTCCATAGGGTACCACTGTGCAGAGTCCCAACCTCTCGTGTTAGTGCCAGTGGGACAGAACATACTCGGGTGATGATGGAGGAATCTGGGGCATTGCTGAAAACTATACATTTATCAGTATGACTACATGATCAGGTTGTTGTTTGATTGGTCTGTGGGTCAGCTCTCCAAACTCTGTCACCCGTTCTCAGGTGTTTAGTGCTACTACCAGGACAGTGTCACCAAGGGGCAGCATGTGAGGATGATGAGTAAAAAGGGACTAAATGCAAGAGAACACGGACTGCAGAAAGAGACTGCCGAGCTGTTCTCCTACAATCAGACAGCTAAGGCTGGAATTAACCCAGTGTAAGCCCACCAACCTGCACACCAGAGGAAAGGCATTGAAGGACAAAGGCGTGGATGGCCATTTCAACAATTATACAGAGGTCAAGGAAGGAAAATGCATCACAGTTAGAGGATGTAATTAGCTAATTTGAAAAAACCTGTTCCAGTGCTGCAGTAATGACAGAATACAGATTCAAACATGTACTGCAAGAAAGAAGAACAGAGATTTGGGAGACAACATGATCTAGGACCTCAGAGGAAGACTGCAGGTAAATGCTGATTTGGAAGAGGAGACATAGATGGGGGTACTACGGTGAGGGGTGGAGGGACAGAGTGAAGTAGCCTTTTAAGGACCGAGGAGATAATAAACATTTTAAAAAGTAGGGAAGCATGTATAATGTCTCTTTGTCGTATACCAGCAAGGGAAGCTGACTGGTTTGAGGTTGAATGATAAGGCAATTGCAAATAGTAGGGTTCAGCCTGAGACAGTTGATGGGGAAGTGACAGAATACATGTCAAGAGTGTGGCACTTCTAGCATGATAAAGATAAAGCTTCAGACTTTCAAATGTCAAACAAGAGGAAATTTTAACTCATCTAAAATTAGATACTTTTGTATTCCCTCAGTGACCTGCAGACCTATCCAGCAAAACTTGTTGCTGCTGTGACATTAGCTTCTGGTAATGGCATCAACTCCTGCATGCCTTCAGCACCCAGATCCTCAGGTTCACCTCACTGCTTCTCTCATCATCTTTAAGAATGTCTCAAATCAACCTCCTAAAATTTCACTCACCAACCACGGCTTGCCATAGTTTTCTGTTACTCCAATAGCATAGGTATAATTTCTGTAAAGTCATAAATACAATGTGTATTTTTTTTAAATTGTCTAGTTACACAGACATGAAAAGCTGCACATGTACTTCAAAAGAGGTAACTTTGAAGGGATCACTTTTTTAAAAAAAAACTTTGGTTTCTAAAAACATGATCAGCAATGCAGCTTCCAGATATTCCTTTTAGTAAAACTTTATTGGCTCAGGGAGTAGGCAAAGGTCACTTAAACTGCAACAACAAAACAAAGTTGCTGGAAAAGCTCAGCAGGTCTGGCAGCATCTGTGAAGGTAAAAAAACAGAGTTAACGTTTCAGGTCCAGTGACCCTTCCTCAGAACCGGACGTGAAACGTTAACTCTGTTTTTTTCCTTCACAGATGCTGCCAGACCTGCTGAGCTTTTCCAGCAACTTTGTTTATGTTCCTGATTCACAGCATCCGCAGTTCTTTCGGTCATCACTTAAACTCGGTTCATAGGTCAAACACAGTTCTGAGCTGAGCTTATGGATCAGAGAAGAAGTTCAAACAAGGTGAAGAAGAATCATGCTAAGGGAAGAAGATCCTTCAGGAGGTCTATACATTTTAAGAATGGAATTTTCTAAGTGTGAAGAGACCAAAAACTCTGTTCTGACCTAATTACACTTTGCCTGTTCTAAATCAGACTGCCCTGACCTCAATCTCACATTGGTTAAACCTCCCACAGCGAAGATTCTGTTTCCCATGCACTGTTATTGACAAGTCAGCTTCAAGAACTCAATAACTCATGAGCATAACACAAAACAGTTGAAAAGGGTTGATTTACAAAGCACTTGCTACTGAAGTCATAAATAATCCCATACAATAAAATAATAGGCATGCATTATAAAAGATCACTTTCATGAAAGGACCTTGTTATGTCAACAAATAGCTCCATATGTTTTAAACGTGGCCCCCTATTAAGTGGCCTTTAACAAACATTAAACATCCATGCAGACTTCATGTATGATGTCACTTTAAAAAAATGCATTCCCCCTCAGGTTAAAGCTGGCTAAGTGTGTCTTGCTCCATTCTGAAATCTAACGTCGTCAGCCTTAGGTATTTACAAACAAACAGATTTGCGAAACAAAATATAACAAGCGATTCAAAGTTAACATGTTAACCCCATTCATACGTCAGAAGTTTAGCTCCAATAATTGTGTCAAAGGTAATTGTAGTTGATGATGCCATTTAATAATTATAAAAAAAACACATTTACAATCTGGCTACAATGGGTACACTGTTTCTTTATTGCTAACTAGACAAAAAGACAATTTTCTAATATTGTTACATTTACGACTGAGTATTGATGGAACTAGGTACACACATGACTGGTAATGATTTTGATGTATCTA